TATTTATTTATTTATTTATTTATTTGTGATCAATATTAGCCTTGAGATTAATTTAAATGGAGAAACTAGTGTGAGAATTTATATAGTCGTAACTTGAGAATTTAATTTATTTAGAATTAAGGTAAAATTATTTTTATATTTCGATTTGACAAAATTATAAAGTAAGAACTTATATAGCAGATCGTAACTTGTTTGAAATTGAGGCGGAGTTATTGTTATATTTCGATTTGAAAAAATTATAAAGTCTGACAAGGTATATGTGTTAGGTGTTGTCGCAAATTATGGCGAAATGGTAACTAATCCTATTGCTAGTTTACTCTAAACCAATATATGTATGACATATGTCTCGCACATGGACTTCAAGTACTTAACCGTGATGAATTATATGTATTCTCATCGGGGGCGGATCTATGTAGGGGATTGAGGGTGATACGCCACCCGGTCGCTCGAGTAAAATCGTATACATGTACTGGTATTTTCTTTAAAATATTGAACATATATAACGAGTGATACTCCAAGTCACAAAATGACTGCAGGTGCCACGGTAAAAGCACTGAAACTCCCCATAAAATGCTCATGATTGAGACTTTGTTGTGGTCCTACTTGTTTTGTTATTATCTTTTTTCCCTTCCATTTCTTTTCTTTATGCTCCTTTTAAATTCTTTTAATTTCTTCACCTATGTTACTTACTCTATTTGTAAAATCTCTTTTTTTATTTATTTATTTAAATTGCATATTTGCTCCTTTTTCTTTTTCTAGATCTTCAATTTATTTGAATGTGATGAATGTGATTTTAATCATTTCCTCTTTTTATCCATTTAATGTTATTTTATTAATTTTAAAAATTAGAGTGATGCATCAAAGACATAATATTAATCGAGCTATATATAGATTGAAGTGGTGTATTTCCTAATTTAAAATTTTATTTTTCTTTATACTTTTTAATCATATTAATCGAATTTGAACCCAGAGAATTAGACCGAATTGGACAGAACTTATTCGATTTTGTGATCGCATATTCACTTATGCATAAAACAATCTTTTAAATTGAATTGAATTAATTCAAAATGGACCGAACCGAATTAATCAAAAATGGATCGAACCAACTAAATGTACACCCAAGTCCAATCTCTTCACTAGTCGGTTTGCATTAAAAGCAGTGGCACCAGGGGCATTCGCAAAATTTTTGTAAGCGATGTCAAAATTTATAAAAGAACGGGAATAATAACTTTAATTATCATACTTCTAGACAAGAAATAGTTTTAGTCTATTGGTTTTGTTGAGTTTTAAGTCAGAGTAACCAATACGTCAAGAGACAAATTATGTCTAGTGATGTATTTAGCAAAAACATTAGACGAAGCGGTGTCGCATGACACTGCTTCGATAAATGTGCATTCGCCTGTGAGTGACACCCGTAACCATCAAATTTCGGATCCGCCTCTGATTCTCATCTCACCAAATCAATTAATCACGATATATTATCATGGTTTGATGTAAACACCATGTACAAATAAATATTTACCGTTACTATTTGATCACAAAACGTGATGGATCGTCGTAATTAGTAGTGTAAAAATTTCACCAACATATTTTACTTTAAAATCAGTCAAAATCACCTTCAAATGATTCTCAATATCCTACCTTCTAATATCAATCTCAATAATTCTCGATGGATAGATTCAACTCAAACATTCAAAAATTATTGTCTTCTTCAACAAGCTTTTTTCAAGCTCAACCAAACCCAACAGTGGTGTTATTCAATTTTCTTCGATCTAACCAATTCAACTCATTAGGAATAAATAATACTTCATCCTTTTTAAAAAGAATAAACCTATTATTATTTGGGAAGTCCGATAAGGTTTTCCTTGATCATATATTTTACAAATAATTTTTAAATATTTTAAACTATTAACTATTGTGACGCATAAGTTTTTTTAACGTAGTTTTTAATATATGCAGATTTTATTTCAAAAAATTTAAAAAATCTATGTCCAAATTCACAATTAGTTAAATTGCTCCTCGTTAAGTTTAATGAGATGTTACCCACTCATTTTTAACCACTAAATATTTGAACTGTTTCTATTAAGCAGAAATAAGGTAATATATAAGGACGGACAATCCATTAGTATTATCCATTTTGTTGAAAAGTCATGTCTGGTTTTCGCCTGCCACTATTGTTTCATCTTCTTCTTCCTCTTACTCTCTTTCTACAATATGTACAAAGTCTTCCTCAGAATAGCTCAACTGTTGAGTTTCTTCCTGGTTTTGATGGCCCTCTTCCTTTTTATCTTGAGACTGGGTACGTTAATTTTACCACCCTTTGAATTTTAACTTGTATTTGATCAAAAGATCAATTAGTATAAAAAGAATCTAAACTTTTTCTTAGGTAATTTACTTCATTCAGAACATACTGGCTACATATATAGTGGAGTAGTAAAACAAGTTTGTTGAAGTGATGTATTTTGAATACAATTGTTAGATATATTGGAGTTGGCAAATCCGAGGAAGTGCAACTATTCTATTACTTTGTCAAATCAGAATCCAACCCTAAAAAAGATCCACTCTTGCTATGGCTAACGGGAGGGCCTGGTTGCTCATCCTTCACGGGTGTGGCGTATGAAGTAGGTAAATATTTATATTGTATATACTGACAATGTAAATATTTTTTATAAAATATTATTTAACCTATGATAGTATGTTAGTTATACTACTATTGTATTATCAAGTATGTTTATCAGTAACTCACCTTAAATATGTAATCATAGTCTGGAGGTTATCTTTATCCCAACAGTTACCATTATTGTTTGTGTTCAAATGTAATTTTTGTCAAATAGAGTTTAACCTTTTGTGATTAACTTAACTCATTTGAGAAATGCTTTTGTTAGTATCACAAAAGCAATTTACTTTTAGTCGATGTTTCTAATTAGTCAATTAGTAGTAAATATATAGGTGTGGAAAAGCTTGGTATTACGTGTAACTCATAGTTGGAGAAAATTAACTTCTGAATTCTCTTTTGTAGGGCCATTGGCTTTTGGTCAGAAGGCATACAATGGGAGCCTACCAATTCTTGTTTCAACTCCATATTCCTGGACAAAGGTAACACTGAAGAGCATGTTATTTTTCTATTGCACACTTCATTTTGCTGTCAACAAACTGCATATATATTCTAATCCACACTTCATGTTCTCTTTTATCCTCTTATGGTTAACATTAGATCATCAAATTAATGTGTTCCTTAAACTTGGTAGTTTGCGAGCATACTTTTCTTGGAACAGCCTGTAAATACTGGGTTCTCATATGCAACAACTTCAGCGGCATCCAAGTGTACTGATCTACAAGCGTGCGACCAGGTCTATGAATTTCTACTAAAGGTATTTGAAAATCATTTCAAGTTCATTTAGTTAGATACATATGAATTAGTAAACTGAGTATTTTTTAGATTGAATTAGTAAGCAGAGTTAACTCTGAATTTTCATGTATTCCTCAATATACTTCTCATTTTGCATTGTTCATTGGTAGAGGATCTAGGATATAAATTTTTTAGGCTCAATATATACGTATTTGAATTCCCTCCACCCACCTAAATCCTAATATATGTGTATCTTGGTGGATTGATCAAATGAACCGTGAAGAAATGAAGACAGTAATAATTAAATAGCAACCAAATATAACAAAAATGTATCGCGAAATAAGTTGTGATTTATTTTGCAGTGGTTCAATAATCATCCAGAATTCATTTCCAACCCTTTCTATGTTTCTGGGGACTCATATTCAGGCATTACAGTTCCAGTTATTGTTCAACTAATATCAGATGGTAAGTGTCATTTAGTATTTTCATATAATGTGCGGTTGTGATCGTTCTCATCACCCCATCACTCTTTAGTGTATGCTTTGTTATTATTATTTTTCCGGTTTAGCCATTCGTTATTTGAAGCCCGCTGGCAATTAATGCTGAATTGGTCCACTAGGGGGAGTAAAGTGACTCTATTGATCAAAGGTTCTCCATTCCTAGGGCTCTAAGCCAAGTTTATGCTTTGTTATTATTGATCATTACTTCCACAGATATTAGATAAGATATATAGAACACTACATTCTTTTGTTGTCTCTTCAAAACTGAATGTGTAGCCTCACTTGGTTGAAGAGAAGATTCTCAAAACATTTCTAGCCAAAGTGTTCTCTGTTGACACTTCAAGAGTGATATGAAAATGCAGGAATTGAAGCAGGCAAAAAGCCACTAATCAACCTTAAGGTTTTCTATTCCTTTCCTTTTATTTAAAATATATCTCATACATGAAAAATTATTATTTTTAATGGTAATTAATATCCTTTCAGGGTTATTCACTTGGCAATCCGCTAACATTTCCTGAAGAAAGCAATTACCAAATTCCTTTCTGTCATGGTATGGGACTAATATCTAATGAACTTTATGAGGTTGGTTCATCTCTTACTTCAATTCATATATTAACTTTGTATCATACCAACACAGTTTGGCACAAAAATGATAATTTGGATCTTGTTGTATCAGTCACTGAAGGAGACTTGCAAAGGCGATTGCCGAAACATTGATCCTACCAATAAACTATGTTTAGAAAACTTTAAAATGTTCAAGAAGGTAAGGTTATATTCCTTCTTACATATTCTTGTTTTAATGTTTTGAATTGGTACTAAGTTTGTAATTAGGTAATACCACAATGTTCATGTAATGCAACTTTGTAGCTTGTAAGCAGTATAAATGATCAGCAAATACTAGAGCCTTTTTGTGGAACGGACTCAGAATCGCCAAACCCACGCCAATTGTCTGGTGAAAGGAGATCTCTTGAAGAGGATTTTATCTTTCTAAAACATGATGACTTCATTTGTCGAGAAAGTCGTGTAAGTCCCTCAAATATTACTATATAAAGTTTGAATATTGCAGCAACTAAATGCCTTTACACCGAATAAAGTTTGAATATTGTTTAATAATTTTAAGATATATACCTATTTATGTTAAAAGAGGCATATATGCCCGGTTCTTTTTCATGATTTCTCGGGATAAACAGATAAATGTAGGATACTTAGATATACATATGCTTTCTGATTTTAGGTTGCGACACGCAAGCTCTCCAATCATTGGGCAAATGACCCTAGTGTTCAAGAGGCTCTCCATGTTAGAAAGGTATTTCAATTGTTTGTACTTGTACATAGTGAAGGTTGCTTGGCATTAAGGTGCAAGATATTAAAAGGCTTTTTTTCTTTTCTTTTTGGTTCTTCTTTGATTAGGGAACTATAAGAAGAGCGTGGGCGAGATGTAGGCAAAGTATTATGGGTACAACTTATAGAGTTACTTTCATGAATAGTATACCTTACCATGTTAACCTTAGTTCCAAAGGTTATCGATCACTCATATACAGGTTTGATACTTTAAACCTAAACCAATGTTTGTAGTTCTCTAATTTGTGCTTTATGCAAAAAAGATTTAGCTGAAGTTATTATATACATAACAAAGTTTTTTTTTTTTTTTTTTTTTTTTGCCCAGTGGTGATCATGACATGGTTGTTCCTTTCCAATCGACGCAAGCATGGATAAAGTATCTAAATTATTCTATCATTGATGATTGGCGCCCTTGGACAATTGATGGTCAAGTTGCAGGGTATGATTCTCCATTTTAATTTCTCTGGATCTCTATTCCAGTTGGATAGACGATATAATTGTTATGAAATTCTAAATTTATAGCTTTGATGTGCAGTTACACAAGATCTTTCTCTAATCATATGACATATGCAACAGTAAAGGTTAGAATTTTGTACTCACACTCGATAGTAAAATTGTCTTGTGCTCACATTTTCACAGTTCTCAGATGTTTTTGTTCTTCCTTCTTGTCTTTTTTTCTCTTTAGGGAGGAGGGCACACAGCTCCTGAGTACAAACGTGAAGAGAGCTTTCATATGTTTAAAAGATGGATAGCTCAGCAACCTTTGTAAACTTTTAAATTAACTTCACATTTACTTCTTTGAATTACTACGAAAATATTACTACATATCAGAAACTGGATATTGAATTGCAGCAATGTGGTAATGATACTCTGAAGCTACAGTTAATTGGAATTCAAACGATTTCATCTTCTTGGGATCCAATTTAAGCCAAGAACCTCTGTTATGGATTAGGAATCAGCCTCCTCCACAAAAAAGTATCATTTAAGAAGTCACCTAAGGGATTGGTGAGGAGATCCAACAAAATGAACAACTTTTGGAGGATTTGAGGCACACTTTTGGAGGATCCGAACAACTCATATATATGAACACTTTAAATCTCTCCTTCAACAAGAGAGATAATACTTTGTGATAATTAATATTTCAGTAAGATTTTTCTTATATATGAGAATTAATTATCATAATTTAAAATATTAGTATATACATGCAGTTGAGTCATTGTTTACCCGAAAAAATGGATAACAATTGAATTTATACGCGGCTCTAAGGATACCTGATATAACTTGGTACAAACCGAAAATATATATATATATATATATATATATA